AAGAGGACTATATTTAAAAATAGTCAACCGATAATTTTCATTTTGACTATATAGTGTTCCCAAGATTACAGGTACCAACAATACTTCATAATAATATTATCGGAGGGATATACACAATGCTGGGCTACAATGAAGAACGCGAAAATCGTCACGTTCGAAATGTCAAACCGTGATGCTGCGTTGGTAAAAGGTTTTCCCCATAAATGAAATTCAAAACTTCCCCAGAAGAATCCAGAAGTGTGCCTGTAAAGGAATGAACATCATTTAGAGCACAACCACCCACTAGTAACGACGACACTCATGAAAGTGCATCAAGTTAAGCTAGTCATCTCAAACTTCTTGTAGAGCTGCTCCACGGAGCATAATTTTAATGTGCTAAAGAACAAATCGGACATCGTGCCGACAAAAAACGAATGCAGCATTCTGTAGTATCATCTATCTTACATTCATAAAATTTCAGGACCGTACACAATATACTTCTTGAGATACATTGACTATAAAATGTGAACCAATGGTCTCATGGTCCATATGATCGACGTCACTAAATTGAATTAATTTTGTGAATGCCTCGAAAGGCTGAAATTGCTCGGTCAATCTGTGTTCTTTGAATAGTTAGTCAGGTTATGTTATAATTGACTTATAATCAATCAAAATATAGTTTTTAATATGTGTCTTCCGTAGCAGGAATGCATTATTTGTAGCATTTTGTCCACCAGTCTTTGAAATTATGTCTGAACCATCCGACCTATAATTAATAATACTAATTAGCTCGTCACTCCCCTAATTAAAAACACATATTCCACAACGAGATCACTTGCGGTGTATGACAGATTCAGCTGTGGCATATGGCATACACACTAACCATTGATAATGTGATACGAAAGTAGGCAATTGTCAATTGCATCGATTGAACGAATGGGTAAAAGTTAATAAAATATTATAACGATCACTGAAGCAACATCACAGTACATTGAATGTATCAAATAATGTAGAATTAAGTATCACCCAGCAAGCACACGTAATACGTAAACTTGCTCAATAAATGCAGGATTTATATACAGTGTATTGGTACTTGAAGCACTAACAATTTTGGTAATCTTGCGTAGTTTTACATTTAGAGTCGATTCTCGCAACCAATCAAATCAAGGCTTCTGTATTACGTTTTCACTTGTGGTGTATGACATACTCATCTGCAGTATTTCTCAAGTGAGTATGACATATTCCGTAGGTGAGTATCGGGTATTCACTGAAATCCATGTATCGCATATTAACTGCGGAATATGCCATGCGCACCTGCAGAAGCTGTCATATACAGCAGGAGAGTATGGTATATTCACCCGTAACACAAATACCCCGCAACCATGTATATATGCCAAATTGCGTATAACAACCTTGAAGGTATACTAAGTTTTATTTTGAGGTTCATATATAGTCTTTATACAGAATAAAAATGCAACGGTATAAATTTTGAATCCCCGACAGCATTCATTTGGTAATCTGAGTTCTTTGACACTATCTGAACACCTGTGTCACGTGGAAAGATTATTTTCTTCAAAGTAACTCTGTTTTTGTAGCTAAGCTCAGAAAACCGTAATTTCGGTAAAAAACAATTTCTGTTGATATATTAATATTATAAATGAATGAATAAATATAAGATTCACACTTCATCATAATTGATAGAATCAAAATTATGAAAATGTCAATCAGAAATAATAATTTAATATATGCATTATTGAGTTTGTATCGAAGAGAGGATAGAGGTGTAGCATATTTTATTCATTGTTCCCCATTATTCCCCAATTCCAATTTAAGTAGATCATATGTACCCTTGACGTGCTTAAAGCTGAAACGATTCAAGAACCATTTGGAACCGTTGTAAATACTATGTCAATTATAGGTCTTAACTGTCAAAGAACATGTAACTTAAACATTTGCGCAGTGTATGCAATCAATGAATAGAATCTCTCGAATATTTTCTTTGATTTTGCGACACGTAGTACTAACAAAAAATTTAGCACTCAACGACATCATAATGATGCAACTATAGCTAGTTTTAAAGAGTATACTTTAATAAATATCCAATTATAACCAAGCTCTCTGATACATGAGGTAAATAAAGAATACACCTAAAGTTTTTAGATGAGAATATGGTGCAATCTTGATGAGCTTTGAGGATTATTCTTTACATCGAGACCAAATCTAGTAAAGGATAAGACACATCAAAGCGAATCAAGAATGTACATACAGCAGCGTCAGCTGTAACCAACCAGACCAATGTAGAACATGGATATTTTGTCATGCCTATCTTGCATTCAAAAAGTTGTCATTACCTTATGAGAGATCTGCTTGAATTTGAATAGCCGTCAGGCCCGTAGCCAGGATTTGCCAAGGGGGATTAACTTTTTGAGAAATTGTACGGGGTTCACTTTTGACAAATTTGACCCCAAAATGGCCAAAACCGCTTGAAAAGTGCGCAGAACTGTGAAAACTGCATGCTTTTGAAATAATTTATGGTCGGGGGAGGGTCCTAGTTATGAGTCTGCCCGTTATGTGACAATAATACAGATTGGACATCGTATATATTTCCTGAAGACATTCAGTTATACATCGTCAAACCAGCCCTCGATCAGAAGATTCACTTCTTATATCACTGAAATATTGCATGCATTTGGAAACAAATACACATATTGCGCGACATTATCTTTCTCTTAATCTGAAAGCAGGAAATTAACATGAATAAGCACAGTCTTTATTGTTATTTTTACTATAATTGCTCCTTATTCAAAGTGCTACCAAAGATTTAAAAAACAAACTTAAACTATATTAAGAGGCTATAATGGAAATTGAGAGCTTTCGGAAGGAATGTTTAACACAGTGGCAGGACCACAAAGAAAACTAAAAAAACATTCAAAGGAATTAACTTTCAGTTAAGCTGTTCCCATAGAGAGAACTATTTTACTGTGAATAAATTGTATAATTTTAATATGCAATATGTTTAAACTGACTTACCCAAAAACGAGAGGCTTCATTTAGTACGATTGGGGTCGTCAACCTAACATACGCCAGTGTATAGAAGTTCTGTATAATTTCAAGACAATTTAAACACACATGGATTTAAATACCTGGGAAAATACGAGCGAACGAAATATTAGGCTATTATATAGACCTGGTTAAACAGCTGCATCTAAAAAATTAATGTTCATCATTATACGCCGTGTTCTACATTGCTTCCATTTTTAATACGAAGCCCGGTGTAAAAGAGTAGGAGGTCCTATCAAATTATGATCCTGAAAAAATCTCTTTCTCTTATTATCGTATCCACAATCAGGGCCAGTAAGGGCCTTTAAGAAAGGAGACCATAATCCCCAGGGGACCATAATTTCTTTTACACCTGCAAATGAGACATCGTACGGGCACCGGGAGATTTGTTTCGCCGGGATCAAAGATGCCGATGTCTTGCCGTTTGTTTCTAAACCAAACCCATCGGAACCTGCCCCGTCGTGTCCAGTACTGCCATCGTACGATTATGTAATGCTCCTGTTGGCATCGTTGGGTCATCCTGGGATTTTGTACAACCTTATATAATAATTCTTAATTACAATATCCCAGATGCGAGTAGAAATAATCTTGATTTATTTAAAGAGAGAATCAGAGATAGCGAGCAGGCTAAACAAAAAATTGTTTCAATTTTAGAATATTTTTGGCTCATGTCATTCCTTGTGATGTCTATTTTCTAAAAATCACAAAAGTGCATACTTTATTCAAGGAAAACAAAAGATTTTTACAATAATGTATTATTTTTCTATAAGAATGGTTACCATTCTTATTATTTGGGAGAATTTAAACATATTTCACCCATTTTCGCACTTTGCATCATTAATAACTTCACCAATTTATAACATATCGTGAATCTTTTGGGAGATATTGTATTTGATATTGTAAGGAATATATTGGTAGGTCAATTATGCATGTTGCCTGTAATTTTGTCACCCCCTATAGATCTGATTCTGCCTTTAATTAAATTTTACAATTCAGTCAAACTGATGTCATATTTGGAATCTACATGTAAATTTATATTTAGAAATATGGTTTTGAGTTTATCAACTTTGAAAATTTAATTTTCTTTGAAAATGTGACTTCTAGGTCGGGGAGATTCCCCATAGAGCCCATGTTGTAAAACCACAAAAAGTGAAATATCTTTTCTTGTGTTGGGCAGATAATATTTTCTTTTACTGGACATATTTTAATTTGTACAACTATCAGATACATTAAGGTAATATGAAAAGTGAACCATCAAAACTGATGCATATTCAAGTTTAAGGGAATTTTGTAATACCCTGCCATGTTAATTCCCCCGAATCAGCCACCTGGTGGTGAAACTAGTAACTACCTTCTCGCATCTGAGTAATTACTTATAAGGTATTATACATTTAAAAAAAAGGTTGAGAGATATTATTCATTAGAACAATGGTACCAATGTGGAAATAATGGGACGATGTATCTCTACAGCTATTGTATCTTATATCTAACGCATCAAGAAATCGAATATGCATATATTTGGCATATTCAAATTTGTGAATAACTCGGTTATACTGTCACCACGTGGACCCATTGACAAATGTATATAACCCTTTTAATGTGAAAATGGCAATATTGGAAACTAATTCATTCCTAAGATTTCATTATTTTATATTTTTACACTAAATCTCTTTTTTCCTTTTAAACACGCTCAATAACACTTCAAGGTGACACAATCAAATACTTTTACCATAGACATATTAATTGTACGGTTGTAATAACGTTCCTCATAATAGTAGTCAACAATCGCATCTCTACAAGAATTCCAAAATTAACACCGTGTAAGTGTACTTCAAATACTCTTTCAATATATTAAAGTATAACTTATTATTACTTTTTACCTTGAATAAAGGATTTTTGAAAATCTCCCATAGGTAATTTTTAGGGGCTGTATAGCGCCGTATTCGCATATTGTCGATTGAGATCTATTGAGGTTGTGGGAACATATATGTTCCTAGGTCATAATCACGGTCGATGCATTCCCAAGCACAATAGAAGAGCAGAAGTATAAAGGTATCGAGAAACGCCCGAATCATTAGATCAGTTTTAGCTCTCAAGGGTAAGTAGATGTACTTAGAAAACGCAGATGTTATAACAAACGGAGATGCTAGATGCAATAAAGACATCAACAGAACACAACTGTAACCTAGGCTAAAAGCACATAAATAAGTATTTCAATTGTTTTAATGAACCACCTATGGAGATTATATTCTAGTTAGAATTAATTTGTAAGATACTGATTTTTGTAAGAAATTTCAAGATGTTACAAAACTTTTCATAAAATTCATAAATCCGATAAACAAAAATACATTTTAAAAGAATACTAAACCAATGTTTTAGCTGAAGTATTTACAAATTAAAACAATTTGTAATTCTTAAAAGTTCATACTTCAAATTCGAAATGAAATAGTGCATTATATAATCAAGGAGAATAGGAAGATACGAGGGTATATCATAAAGTTCTTATAATACCTCTCAAGTTCGTTTATTTATCTAATATATTCGGATGTATTTTGCACAGAATGTTAAGAATAGAATGTTGTATGAATCTATCAAAAAGTATTTGGTATAACAGAAATATTATTTAAGAAATGGTTGCCATGGTAACCGGAAATCAAGGCACCCGGGGCAAATAAAAAATCTTGCAAGAATAGCCCCAACTAACCATGTTTAAATGCATAATAATATACCAAATAAGCTATGAAACAAATCAAATTGTTGAATATCATGTGTTCTTGGCTGTTTTGAACTATTATAATGGTCATGTAAATTATGTGATCTCGTAATGGATGATTGTAATGCTTCATTAGAAGTGATGTTAGGTGACTGTTTTGTCATATATTAGAAGGGAAGTCGATATTCCCCTTTAGTTCACCTTAAATATGTTTAGACCACACATAGGGTGTAATTTGGTGATATCTTTGCAACATATTTGTTTTCGATCATCTTTAATATGAGCAAATTATTTTTTGAACTAAGGTAGACTTTTTATCAGTGTGAATTTTATTTTTCTGATGATCTCCGCATCTGTGCAATATCTTACTTGGTCATTTCTGGTCATTAAGCTTTGATTTCAGAGTCTCGTATCAGATCAAATGAAGCATGTAAGCATCACCTACTACATCACAGAAATCAAATTTAAAATTTACTTTATAGTAAACGCATTTACAGCATATTCAAGATAATATTTTAATGTGTTTGATAATTTATGAGACGTTATCATGTATGTAAACATGATTAATCAAGCCCATTCTTTCAATTATTTTTATTTGCCCCGGTTGCCTTGATTTCCCGTTACTTTGGCAACCATTACTTATCTAATATTTTTGTTATATCAAATATTTTTTGATAGATTAATAGAGTGTTCTATACTGCAGATTTTATGAAAGTTTCATTAGAATATATTGAAAAATAAAAAATAAGAGAGATATTATGATAACTTTATGATATACCCTCGTATACACGTAACCATGTATTTTAAGTTTGTGCTTTTGATCTAAGCCCAATGGCCGGGTTGACTGCATTAGGTTATTATGGCAAGAACTGCTCATTCAAGATCTACCTTTTTTCGCTGGCATTAGACTTTAAAAAGAAATAACATATCAAGCAATATGAAAAAATGGTGAAAAGTAGCTTCCACGTTGATCAGCTAGAAATGACTGCAAAATTAAATGTTAAAAATGTACTGAATCATGGATGTATATGTTTCCATGCTTACCAACTCCCTTGTTTGTAACACAAAGGGTATGTTTAACAAGACACCTGGGTCGATCTTGAAAATCAAGAGGTGTAGGGGCTCTTAAATATTTTGGACCCAATATATTGTGATGACCCACTTTTAGAAGATGAATGTCCAGTAGTGCCTCCGAACCCCCTGGCTACGGGGACTGTCTTGTTACTAATAATTGTCATTCTTTTAATAGTTACACTAAGACTGTCCAGCCATGAAGATCATCTTTGTACTCGCAGCCATTCAGCTCTTACAGATTAAGGTAAATATCTTTTAAATATCATGATTCAAATAAGTACGATAAACCGTCATAACATCCGTGTCTAACCGGAGGAAATCTTGGATTGAAAAAGGTGAAAAAATTGAAAATACAAATAAAATCAGTGGAATACTTCAGTGCTTGGTGTAAATGTTCTGATATTTCACACACATAATATGTATGACAAACAATATGAGTATGACACTTGGAAAATGTGTTTTCAAATGTGCCTTCACATCACGATTATCGATTTATGCTTTTTACACATTCTGTCTAAATGCTAACGTTTTGCTGTTTCAGGGTGCCTTTGGACAGGCTACAGCTACGGGTACGTATTTTTTTTTTATCGTAGTTACACATTTGGTTAAACGTCTCGGGAAATGTTTCGGGAAAACATTTATTCAGTATGGGCAAATTCAACCAACTATTATTCTGATCAAACAGCCGCCATTTTGTTTAGTTTAATATCGTAAATTCGGGTCTTATTTCCAAACAAAAATTCCAAAACGCACAAGAAATGATTGAGATATTGGTTATGAAAATAGAGTTGAAATTAAATAGTTGTCCGTTTAAATATAAAATAAAATGTTTTGGGAAAAACATTTATTCAGTATGGGCAAATTCAACCAACTATTATTCTGATCAATTAAAACGCCCCATCATGGAAATGATTGAGTGACAAGAAAAAGTTGATTTATGGTTAGAATCTTCAGACTTTTTGTAAGCCTCTTTCGAAGGAGCGCAGATTATTCGGGTATTATCCGGATTTCTTATTTATTGTTTACTGCTTTAGATATTCGATTTCGAATGTTAAATGTAATGTGTTTCCTTTTTGTCGGTGTATTGTTTGTCCAACTTTCCATAGATTTAGACCAAGGAGGATTGGCTCCCAGAGTGCAACATCGATATTCCGTCCCTGTCCAATATGGGCATGTCGTGATACAAAATTCAAACAGCCGCCATTTTGTTCAATTTAACATTTGAATCGTAAATTCGGTTCATATTTCCAAACGAAAAATTCCAAAACTCACAAGGAATGATTGAGATATTGATTCGAATCTTTTGAACTGTTAATTTTAAAATAGTCGGTTACAATTTCAGAAAATAACGATATTTCGGCGTTTTCATTGTTGGAAAATATCGAGTTTCGATCCTGGGAGCAAATCCTCCTTGTATTTAGACCATATCAAATCTGTCCTATTAGTAGTGATACTAGTAAATGAGGTTTCAATACAAATAAGGACGTAGTGACGTAACCACCATCTCTTTCAATTTCGTTTCCAGCCGATGTCAGCTGCCAAAAGGACGTGGATGGCCATCGATCAATTCACATTCAACTGAACAAAGAATCTGTTAATATTGCGGAAGCATATGCCTTCAACAAAAAAACGAGTTGTCCATTCACCCTTGATGCTAATGGAGGTGCTACGATTGACATTGATCTGGCACAGGGTCATCTCTCCCAACAATATGAAGACTGTGGTATTGTCGAGGATGCGGTGAGCTCATGAATGAACTATTTAATTCACTCAGTAATTAATGTGCATATCCATACGAAAATCTTGTAAAAATTATACTATTTTGAATCTATTCCTTAATTGTGAACTTAATTTTGATTAAATTGATTAAATAGCCATATTGTTGAACCTAATTCCTTTATATATTTCTATTTTTATTCTAGACGGTTTGAGTGTCGAATATATTCAAGTTTAGTGTCATCTCGACCACTGTGCTGGCACCTATTATTGTTGCACCGACTACAGGAGTAGAGGTTTACGTCTATGCAATTGTCTGCGACTTTAATGGTGTTAGTAATACAGCTACGGTTAATGGCATAACTATAGAAGATAGGTAAGGTTGTCTAAAAAAACGTACCACAAATTGTACATATTCTACTCACTATGAAGGGGATGTATGACTTATTTTAAGTACTACTATACCGGGATAGCGTTCACCCTGTTTATATGTTATGCTGAGGATCCGATGATATATTTTCAAGTTTTCAACGTTGATATGAATAACGATATATTTCGACGATGCTTCGGTAAAAACAGAATATACATTTAAAAATGAAATACAAAGAATTTATTCACCAAGAGGTATTTGATATGGGGAATATCACAATATATCAATATTTGGTATCATCCGAGGGATATTCCTCATATCATCGCGACAGGTGAATAATGACCTTATACCATGGTCAAGAGCGATATCTACCCAGTCCTCTGTTGAATAAGAGAAAAAATGTTAGACTCTTAGGAACATTAAAGTTAACGTGCATTGGGAATTTAGGAAAAAGATAAATATAATATTTAGAAAATTCGAAAATTAAAATTACAAAATGTAAACTTTCGGAAAAAATGAAAATTAAAAAAGAAAGCTCTTGTGCCAAGCCCTAATGTATTTATAACTCGATATAATACTTGATCCAAGGTCTATATTACGATTCGAACATGGAATTTCAAGCAGGGATTTTAAAGATATTAATTCTGGGTGAAAAAAACAATAGATCGCATGAGTTTTCCCTCTCGGAAAATAACATGAGAAATATTGTTTTCCACCTTATCCACCTTATCCTACGTAAAACATATTTTCCTTTTAAGAGATTCATTGTTTCTACAGATGCAACCCATTGATGCATAAAACATTGAAAAAACACGAGTGGAAGGGGACAAAAATCAAGAAAACTTTTTTGAGAAAAAAATGTTAGCGGGTTGTTTGCTCTTCCTTGTCTCGAAATACAAATTATTTGATCATCTCTATGAGTACTTTTCCTTTAGATAATGCAGTGGCCTAACATATGCACGTTTTCAATTCTTCAGAAGAAACAATCAAACCTATGTAAAATCTGTTTGCGATACCTTCTGTTACCTTCATTTCCTACTTTCGGTGCACTGAACGAAACACTTAATACAGACTAGGTATTGACGAATAAATACCGGGTGAAATAATGACTTTGTTTCACATTAATAGAAGGCGTGAATACAGTCATTTTCGAATACATGTTTTATTTCAGCGCCCTCGCTGCTGGCACAGTCACCGTTGCCAACCCAAATCCGACTCTACAGTTGCTTGATGCAAGTGACAACGCTGTTACAAAAGCGGCTGGTGAGACGCTTGATATGGCCGCGATGCCTTCCATACAAATTCAAGTGACCATAGATACGAGCCAAGGTAAGCATAGCAGTGCTGTGTTCTCTAGAGAACGTTTTCACTTTTAGGCTGATAGAAACTCGATGGAAAAGGAGTGGTATCGATATGGTGAACTTTTTGAACACGCGTTTTTCTTAAACCAATCATCAAAACATTCTGAAAATTTTACACATCGTCAATTTAATGGTCATCTTTTGGATGATAACATTAGAATTTGAAATATATACCTTTTCTCTATATTGTTTTAGAAAACACACCAGCCACTTCTTTTGTTCTTGGTATCATATGTTCGGAATGAAAGGAAACATCTATCCGAACCTCATTGGAACAAAAAGACATAAACACAACGTGTTTAGCTCTCTCAATATTGTAATTGTACAAAGGAAAGTTTGGTTGATTTTAAAAAAAGTATCTTGTTAATGAAATAAGAGGTTTATCTTAATTTTTATCTATTTTGGGGGGTTTTCTTTTAAGTTATCCTTTCGATGTGCAATGTAGTGCTATAAAGACGTACGAGGTTTTTCACCGAAAATCCCTAAATGTGAGTCCCAATTTGAAGAAAAAGTCCCAGATATAGGTCCCATTTTGATGAAAATTTCCCAATAACTGGGTCTTCTATCTGAAAATCCTAATCCCGTGTTGTTCTTGAAAAAATAACAGGAAGTTGTTTATGAAAAATGAACTAGAAGTGGGTCTATATTTGATAGAAAACCCCTGGACGTGGGTCAATTTTAGAGAAAAAAAACCTTGATGTTTGTGAATATTTTGAATATTAGCGGCATCCCTGTACAAAAACTGTTGCCACCGGGATCACGGGTTATCAATTCTTGATTTATTTGTTCATTTGCATAACTTTACCATACATAAATAGCCTTATTCACATGTGGAGCCATGACCATTGCATTACATTGTATTACAGCTGTAGGCGGTATGAGGGTTGTAAAGTGCACAGCTTATGCAGGAGCCGATACGACAGGCCAATCATTGAGACTTTCTGATAGAGAAGGGTGAGTCTAATGTTCATAATTGTTAATAACCAATAAAACGGTCACTTTCAATATTAAACTAAAAATGTAATTGTCATCGACGAATGGTTATAAACGGTGTATATTAAAGGCAGAATCAGATATATAGGGATGACAAAATAACAAGCAACGTGTACAATTGACCAACCAATCTATTCCTTACAATCTCAAATACAATTATTAAAAAAGATTCACGATTTTGTTATGAATTGCTGGTGAGGTGCAAAAGTGCAAAAACGGATAAAAATGTTTAATTTCTCCCAAACAGTAAGAATGGTAAGCATGGATTCTTATAGACGAAAATCGACTGCTTTTGTGCTAAAATACTGTAAATGCTCACGCTTTGGACTATGTTTTTAAATGGAATTTCAAAATTGCCCAAATTTAATTTTTTGTAATAATTTAAATACCAGTTGTAGGAATTTTCCAAATTCTAGAGACTTATATTGCCCTTCTCTCTCGAGGGAATTCCCTATACTGCCACTCGATTCAAAATGGCAGCCGTTATTTTTTTTCAAATATTACTATCGATGTGAACCAATGTTGGGTTCAAACCAGGCCAATGTTTTTGTGTTGTAGATGTGGTACGGATCAGTACGCCAATGCAATAGGTATTCCTGAGAAAGATACGGGCCCTGTGTTTCCAGGCTCTGGCTACAGTGATGCAGTTTCTGGCAAATATTCTGGCAACTCCATTGCCTTCCCCGCCTTTAAATTCCTCAACTCGAATTCGGTGACCTTTGAATGTGTTGTTATCATGTGTACAACTTCGGAAATAACAGGATCGAGGACTGGTACCTGTGAGGTAAATTTATGACTCTGAAATATATTTCTCGTATGGACAAGTGATACATAAGGGAGTTTAAGCTTGCATATAAAATCGAAACGCCAACCTATACGTATGACCATCGCCCATACAAATGCATCGCTTAAATGTTTTCCGTTTGCGTTTAGGTTGTAAAAAACATTGCAAGCTTAAACTCCCTATTGTTTTAGGACCACGGGTGGATCAGAAATTACAATATAGCATATATTTCCGGAATGCCTGTTTGTGAGCCAGTAGCACTACCTGAGTAGTTTCCATTCCATAACTATCTAAGCACGTATGTCACATATATGTGTACATCTACTGACAATTTATGTTTTGAAATAGTATCAGGAGTGTCAGGGACCCCTACAGATTACAATTTTGGACCAAAAAATTATATTTTTGACGGTATCAGTAAATCGCCGGCATAATTACACCTCACACGCTTTTTAAAGAAACAAAAATCAGTGCTAGCTGTAAATCATACAATTTTCGTTTGTGGGATATTTTCTCACCATTTAAGCAAATGGGAAGTTTTGATTAGCACAACACGATCTCGATGTGCTGACATTTGAGAAATCTTATTTTGAACTTTGTCAATTTAACATGTATGTCTATAGCGAAATAGTAGGTTGTTTTCCCATAAGGTTTTAGAGGAACAATTACTTGACATAAAAATGCCATTGAATGAAGTAATATAAAACGTATATGCAAATGTACGATAACACGCAATCTAAATAACAATTAAATGGGGATTTTGTTGTATATAAATTCCAAGTGAAACTGACCAGCGCCCTGTACATTTATGGAATTACTTAAAAGTATATTTTATTCCCTTCAATCGTTACCTTACTATGACAAGTATTCTCTACCTTTATCTATAGGGGGTTTCTGGTAATACACTGCAAACTGCTCGATGAATCTATACTATGGATAGAAGAACATTTGGAAGATATTTAAAATCTAATTGAGCTTCAGAAATATGGAAATAAACTCATGTACTCCATTTGCAACTGAACTGTAGCCTGTACCCCTTTTAAACGTGGTCACGTGGTTGATTAGAGTGTAAATCTGAACGTTGAATCGGTATTACAGAGAAATAAAGACGAATAATCCACGCGATTTGTTAAAATATATTTTTTCCACATGAAGCCATGTATCGACAATGATTCCACGGAACCCCATTGACCTTCGGTATCCAGAACACATGTCTGGAATAAATATTTCTGAATAGGTTGAGGTGCCGCGTGGTCAACTAGACTTCCATATATATACATGTTTCAATAATACCAAACCTGCATTTTCAGGACCCAGCCTGCAGCACTGTTAAACGTAAGAGACGTCAGGCTGTGGAAACAGACTCCAGTGAAATAAAAAAAATCGCATATGCGACCTTCAACTTCGATCTTGGTGGCTCTAAACGAGGACAAGGAAAAGGTATATACGGGTGTTACATAAACTGTGTCCCCTAGTGATTACAGTCTTTCATCTGTATACCTTAATTGAATTGCTAATATTATATACGAGTAAATAATTATCTTAAACGTCATTCAAAATTCAGTCAGAGTGATATAATATTTTAAATCTACAGGTAAAATTACATCTAGAAGTAGTTATAAAAAGTCTTTACCCGAATTTTGAAAATTGAATTTGCTTTGAAAATGTGACTTCTGTGTCGAGGAGATAACCCATAGAATACCATGATAAGTCCACAAAATTGTTAAGTCAAATCAAGGGTCAAAATGTATTTCGATTCATTGTAACACAATGAATTGTGAATTAAGGATTTAAGCCTTGGACTTAATGCATTGTGTGCTGCACCATTCGATGAAGATGTTGTTACCAAAGTTTAGGAAACAACATATGAGTGGAATGAAGCAGCCACAATGCATTGCGTCTTGGGCTTAAAATCTTTTCACTCATTGCAAAATATTTTTCTACAAAATCATCTAAAGGTCAAGAAAACCAAATTCAAGTATAGTTAATCCTTTCCACGAACCTAGTTGACGACTGAGTTTAAACAGCCTTTAATTGTTTTTTTCAGGAGCCAACGGAGTGGCTGCAAAGAGAGCAAGTTTCACGGGGATTGCCATCGTCTTGGCCATAGCAACATCCCTTTCCTCCCAGTAGATGCTGCCACATATTTTGATACGTTCCGCATCGAAACAACACAGGCTTTCATTATCTCTCACAATCCCCATAGACAATCGTTCGATGATATCTGAAAAACTATGTCATGTACATTCTTTTCTATACCTTAACTTATTATTCGAGAAATATAGTCTGCTTCAAGCGGAAATAAAATCTATATTATGGCTGCTTTTATTTTGTCACCCCAAAAGTGGTGACATATTGTGGTAGTCTCCATTTTTTGTGACGGCGATCGGCGGTTGGTGGTTGGCAGTTGGCGATCGGCGTCTGTAAAAAATTCTTACAACTTCCAATAACTTAACAAATACTATTTAGACTGAATTCAATTTTTTCAAAATCATCTACAAGTTTTCTGAAGTTCAAAGCTGACTTGAGATTTAAGATTTGACCTTCAATGACCTTCTCAAGGTCAAAAATAGATTAAAAAGGTCTAAAAGGTATTTTTTCAACTTGCTTCAAATTGATCAATTATTTTGAAAATCTCTCTATATATATAGCTATAGCGATGACTGACATATTGCGTCTCTTGCGTACCATCTTCGTTTGCTTTAATCAATTTTAGCATTTATATTTCCTAAGACATCATGAAGATTCTAGGTTTTTAACAATGGTTAGAAAATATCAATTGCCATATATTATATGTAAATCATGATGCCACGCGTACGCAATTCTCTAATTTCCACTACATCGCCTGGTATATTAAATAATATCATCTATGTATCATTTGTATCATAACTTCGAACACAAACATTGAGAGATTATAATAAAACTAGAAAAATTGTGATAGTCAATTTGATCCTCTTTCACTCTACTATACCGTGCATTTGGTGTTCATGAGCAACCCATTTGGCTTATTAGTAATGATATACGTTGTTTGTTTTTATTTGTCTGTTCCTTAGTAATGGTTTATCGGATGACTGTTAGATGCCGATAAGGTACTTTCAAAAATATACTAAACACTACAATTAGACATTTCCAGATCTAGGGGTTAAGTTAAGTATAGTAGAGTGTATTTATTGGTCCCATTTGATTTGAGAAATGCTTAAGGCATCGAAAATAATTGGTCTGCACCATACTGCCACTGTAAATGTAGATCATGATTCACACAATTTACAAATATCGTCCCCTCACTACTATAAGGTTCTAACTTCCAATTTTGGTCAATTTCATGTAAGAGTAGATTTCCCCTAAATTCACCATGCTCTTATCAAAAATGAATTGAACGTTTTATTTATTTCGGTCATTTTTTACTTCCTTTATTTTGAATGATTGTAAATGGTTGTTATAAAAACACTGATAACATAAATAAGGTACAACGTTTGGAAAATCAATTGATCAATATTCAAGGAGTCATGCAAACCATGATTCAATAAACTATTCATACTGTTAGTGCATGTGATAGGGATTTTTTTCTGTAAAAATTATTTTGCAACAATACTGTTGTTTGTGTTTCGTTATTTCTCTTATATTCTCGATTCCATACTTTTGTGGTTACCTACAGGTACTTGTTATCAAGAAGGTCTGTTTGGTTGACATTTAAAATCCACCACAAAAAAAGATTTTTCTTTTTTCATCATTTTCACTTACAAGGAGATATATTTTATATCTCAATACTTAGCCCATCTAATACCAGTTACCTCCGGATATTGCAAAGCTAACCAAACAAGAGGAAATATCAAACTGCTCCAATAATGGAGTGAGGCACCCCCTCATATTGCAATTGAATCAATTACTTAATGCAGACATGGCATGCATTGACTGGATTGCCCCATTTCGTATATTGCATATTGAGATGCTCTCAAATGACATCTGGTGTCAGAATGTACATTTTTATTAGTTACTTTTCAATTGCAATATTAGAGCATACAATTTTACCTTATTCCAGCTTTAATATGATGTATTACGTGATGGTTTTAGATTCAAAAACTTATTTTCTGAAATAGTTCAGCATTTACTGTATATAAATGCTACAATTTATTACTAAAGAATCAAAATTGTTCTAATGGCGAATTTCCCATTTTTCAAAAAAATAAATGTGATTATCAGTTTTATTATTTCCTGATCATAATCGGGAGGCATCAAGATCTCTAACAGAAGCTCTTACTTCTGCATTATAACTTTGTAGTTCTTTTAAAACAAGATCACTGTTTGGTTGTTTAACCATTTCCTTCTGTTCGCGCCTTTCAGTTTGAATCAATAGTCTAGCTCCCGCTAATGTTACTGAAATATAAAAGATGGCGCCTCCAATTACAACTCCAACTGATAAACCAATCAAGATTGGCGTTAGCGGAATGATTGCAAATGACGCAACCAAACCAGCTGTTGTCACGACGTATATAAAACACGCCAGAACGAGGCGGTGTAAGTAACTCCCGATGACTGAACCAATCGGAGCACCGCAGACCACAACAGGAATACATACGAGGAGATAAACCCAAGCATCTTCCGTGATATCACTCTGTATTACACCACGCCAAAAGAATGTGAATAATGAATTCATCGCCATAACAATTACCGAGCTCGGGGCAGCTGTTTTTTCAGTTACACGAAATAAAAGCGTGATTATGCTGAAACTCATTATGTCCAATCCACTGCCTCCGATTGCTGTAAATATACCTCCGATGAAACCAGTGATGAACAATACTCCTGCCTTCCATACGTTGATAAATATCACAGACGTAAATGTTCGTCTATTCCGATATCTGTTAAGTAGAAACAAGGCAAATCCAAACGAAAAACAAAATGATGTAAACATGAACTTCTTGACAGGTGGGCTTAGGTGTATGTCTAGAACTTCGAGCCCTACCACAACTCCACCTAAACCCCCGAGAGTACAGAATATGAGAGCGCTCTTATCGACTTTAAATCCCATGAAGTTAATGGTGAACATTGCAGCAGTTAAACCGAATGACTGTATCAAAATGCTGAAGTCACGCGCTGTTTTTGGAGAGATCTCTAACGCGAGAGTCATCACAGGGAACACCATAACGCCACCACTTATCCCCGTCATACCTGAAAATAAGAGGCGATTAATCATTCAGGATAGATGAAAAGAAAGGGACAACGAGTATTATAAAGAAGGAATCTAAATACGTCATTGTATTTGGTATTAAATTTTTAGAACGTCGAAGAGCTTTGAACTATGGAAACCCTTTTGAACAATCTATCTATTGAAAACTATATAGATTGATAATAGCTTAATTGCTCATACTTTATATATGCTGTTTTTCGTAAATTTTCAGATGATAATATAATAAAGTTGTAAAATGGGTTTTTATTATAGGCCAAAAAGGTAAAATCTTTACTTTCGGTCGAATTAAAAAAATCAAACATTCCTGACCAATGCCAATACACACTGGGGAGTATCGTGATGCAACAACACCGTGTTGTTGCATCAAGATGGCCAGACTTCCGGTGATAGATTTTCTTACGATATGTTGTTTCCCCAATTCAAACCCATTTCTAGGACGAGTTTCTCAATAACCATACACGTGAAGTTAGCGCACGATCTATATTTAAAGAAACTGTCATTAGTATACATGTAGCATCATCAAGAAGCAAGAAGTTCACGGTTTTAGTTCCTCACTATTGATGCAACAACACCAACCCGAAGATGCAACAACACTCCTCTAGATTTGAGCAATGATGCAACAACACCAATTAATAGTATAATTTCAGAAGACCATTAATCTCGAGAGGAACAGATTTTTAAATGCTACTATTGCAACACCGGGCCAGTACCCATTTGCGTTCTTCTCAGGCATTCAAAATACGCGTCCTGCGGGCGAAGATTCTTTATATGTATTTTCAAAAATTTATACTTTTAAATATCATAATGTACTGGAAGTTGTTTTATAACATAGTTCAATCGCCTTTAACATTGCAAATTATTGTAACCCAATCTATTATCATAAACCCCTGTTCCATAGCTTGATGACCCTGATACCAGTAAGTATCATTCAAAATGTTGGACAAACATCTTTCGTTCTCGGTAAACACGACGAGCTATTGGAAATCTTGCACGGCGCACATGTAGAAGTATTGTTCTCTTTGGATTCGTTCTCCCCGATTGAGTAAAAAGGTAGGTAATAGGATTTAGGTCCCGAAAAGGTAAATTGATAGAGGTACAGTAATCCCAGATTCCCCCTGGGCCCTCGGGAAATATCATAATGTGTCCCGGAATAAAACCAATATTGAACCTCTCTCAGTAAATAACCTCTATATAATAGCATTGTATAACTGCAATATCATTAAACCAACACTCATCGGAAGTTATGGCGCTAATCGCTAAATTTGGTGCCCCATGTTAAGTCAATGGGAAGATTTTTTTTGAAGTGTAAAATACGACATATATACGACCGAGTACAGCTTAATTTAATGAAAGCCTTTAAATGAAAGGTACCTCAAAAGCAATCTAGCTTCAAAATTTGGACACAAAAATGTCTAGGTCAAAATCTAGGTCAAATTCAAAGTTTTCCTTATTTTTGTGATTCTGACACTACACTTCAATTATATTCTTCGAAATTGTGTATTCATGTAGCCAAGAGTGTACTAAAAGTGTTAGCCTTTTGCCGTCAGAAAGTAATTTAACCCACTTTTGAGATATGGTGTCCAAAAAAGTAGGTCAAAATAAACAAGGCACAGGACGTGAACGAGATCACACCATCAAATAGGCAGACACTATGAACCAGGAAAACTGTTCTCCTATTATGTTTACAAATTTCAAGAACAAGAGAACAAGATGGCCGCCCAAAAGTTAATCAGCTCTAGTACTTGATATCCTCTATCATTTGTGTAAATTTGAAGGAAATCCAATGAGCGGTTTTCCTAAAATGGCGATGACAAGATTTTTCGAAAAACCTTCAAAATGGCCGCCAGAAAACAAGATGGCCACCCAAAAGTTGATCAGCTCTAGTACTTTATATGCTCTATCATCTCTGCGAATTTGGAGAAAATCTGATGAGCGGTTTTCCTTAAACGGCGATGACAAAAAGCGGGACGATCACGATCACGATCACGACCACGATCACGATCACGACCACGACCAGTATGACGACTATATCCCACCGATGGTGTGATAAAAATTCTCCAAATTTAATCCGACTTCCGGTTCGGAAGTTATGGCGTTTTGAAATTTCGAGAAAAATCGATCTGA